AAAAAAAAAAAAAAAAAAAAAAAAAAAAAAACTGAGTCCAAGGCGAAGGATCTCTACAAGATTGATGATGACCCGGGAACAATAACAAACAGCCCCGTTTCTTCGTTATTATTCGTTCCCTTTCATTGTCTCTCCCATATTCTGCTTCTCTCTCCGATTCTCTGCTTCTTCCTCAATCCAATGGCGTCGGTGTTGGATTCCGTTGATGATTTCTTAAGCCGTTGTCAGCAGTCCGGTGATGTCGCCTATGCCGCGCTCCGTTCCGTTCTCGACCGGCTTGAGGATCCCGCTACCAGAGTCCGAGCTCGTGTTTTCCTTGCCGATGTTCAGAGGCGTTTTCCTACCAAGGATGATTGTGACCGGTGCTTCTCCACCTACCATTTCCGGATCGAGGATATCTTTCTCGACCAATACGAAGGTCCTCCACTCTGACTCGTAGTCTTTTTTGTTGTTTTGGACTAATGTTTGCGTGTAGTTGCATTTGGAATGCTGTTTTCTTTATGTTTTGGTCTGTGATTGCATGTGTTCGTGTTTTCATTGAAACTGATGGCAATGTGAGAATCGGGACGCCAGTGCGTTTGTTTTTGATGCCGTGGATGAATTAAGTAGTCGAGTATATGAATTGTTCCTGCTGAAGAAGATTTCTGTTTCTTTTTTCTTTTTCTTCTTCTTACAATCTCGATTATTATAGAATATTCCTAGTTCTAAGAGATTGTGATAATTTTACTTATTATTATTATTTTTTTAATGTGCTGGATAAGAAGCAGTCCGCTACAGATTCAATTCGAAGATTTCTTCTATGTTTCATTTTATTTATCATTTGAACTGCGGGTTTGCCTACTTTGGATGCAACCAAGCACCGAAGTCTAATGACATGCAAATTATTCCCGAAATATGATAGCATTTGCCAAGTTTACATGGCAACGGGTGAAATTCTCCATCCCTGTTGCTGCTGAATGGTCAATACAATGGTCAAAACATACTCCGCTTGTTCCCGCTAGCATACGTAGTCATTACATAAACAGTGGTTAACGTGATCGGTCTGCGGCAGTTCGTTATTAAATTTCTGAATTCAGTCGTTTTTTTCATTGTTTGTCTCCGTACCTGTTCCTGTACCTCATTTTTTAGGAGTTTGATCATATATTCTTCTCAATATAATTATCAGCGCAGTGAGCATATGGATATCTTTTAGTCAATATTCGAGATGGTGGCTGGTTTTATTCCTTCCAAGTTTATAGTTCCAATTGCCTGCATTTTTTGTTTCGTCTTGCCACATTAGTTTGAAAAAAATATGCCTTTAAATCGTTTTATGGGAAGCCTCAGGTTACCGGGGGAGGAAGAAATTGACGTCAATGGTAATCCCTAGCATTTTTGTCCCAGAAGACTGGTCATTTACTTTTTTTGAGGGATTGAATAGACATCCAGACTCCATCTTTAAAGATCGAACGGTGGCGGAACTTGGTTGTGGAAATGGGTGGATATCCATCGCCATTGCTGAGAAATGGTTACCTTTGAAGGTTTGTCTTCTTTCCATTTTTTACCACTTCTAAGGGGAAGGGTAAAATTTTCTGTTTTGAACATTTCATTTCCTTGTATGCTTTCCTGTCCGTACGATGACAAAAAAAAGAGTACACATTTATAGCTACAAGCCTATCGATACTGCTTCCTGCCAAGATTCATACATCAACGTGGTGTGGCTGATACAAAATTTTGGTCTTTGAAATTCATGTCTCAAGTTAGCTTTTGTAGGTCTATGGCCTTGACATCAACCCGCGAGCAGTAAAGATTTCTTGGATTAATCTATATTTAAATGCATTGGATGAGAAGGGTCAGCCCATTTTTGATGGTGAGAAGAAAACCCTTTTGGATAGAGTAGAGTTCTACGAATCTGATCTGCTGGCCTATTGTAGAGACAATGACATCCAACTTGAGCGAATTGTTGGATGCATTCCTCAGGTACAACCTCTTTATCTAACTTAAAGTGATGCTAGTGTTGTTCAAATTTAAAATTTAGTGGAAATTTACAGGATTGATGATGGAACTATAAACTATAATTTGGACCCAATGGAGATGGCTTTTGTAATTATTAAGTTATAGAAACTTCTTTGTATTTCATTCCAGTATATCAATCAAGGGTGTATGTTTCCTACACAAAAAAAAAAAAAAAAAAAAAAAAAAAAAAAAAAAAAAAAAAAAAAAAAAAAAAAAAAAAAAAAAAAAAAAAAAAAAAAAAAAA